CCTTGTTACTAATCTGGTCTAAGTAGACAGTTACTAATCTGGCCTCACTTCTACTTTACGCCTGTAGAAGACCTGATGGCCTGGTTTGTAATCTGACCAAGAAACTAATTCAGCCTAGTTAGTAATGTAGCCTAAATTGTCCATTTACTAATGTGGCCTCTGTGGCCTAGCTACTAATCTGGTATACGCCGCCCTGTTACTAATCTGGGCTACGTAGCCAGTTACAAATCTGGCCTCACTTCTGCTTTACGCCTGTAGAAGACCTGATGGCCTGATTTGTAATCTGGCCTAGATATTAATGCAGCCTAGTTAGTAATGTGGCCTAAATTGTCCATTTACTAGTGTGGCCTCTATGGCCTAGCTACAAATCTGGTGTACGCCGCCTTGTTACTAATCTGGCCTACGTAGCCAGTTACAAATCTGGCCTCACTTCTAGTTTAGGCCTCTAGAAGACCAGTTAAAATATCTGACTATACTATTGTTTTTTTGTTTTTTGCATTCCTCTGCATTACTTTAAATCTTTTTAAAGAACTGCAGGCAAAAAACTTGTTAAATGGTTTAAAACCCTCTATTTATACCTCACATTCAATCTCCACAAATCTGTTATTACATTTTACTTTTCACTGCCACAAATTCATTTTTCCCCCAGCATAATCCTGTTATATTCAGCTGAGGTAGTAAACGCTTGTGTTTTCAAAAGCGGTGGATACACAGCCGTGTTGCCTCACTGCGCTACAGAGCGGATTGTTTTATTTAAAGTTATCTAAGACCAAGCTTCCAATGATTACATACCATGGGGCCTCTAAGGTATTTTCTATCTTAAAATGAACTGCAGTTCTGGCAACAGAGCCTGGTAATTAGCATTGCATATACATGTGGTTAAGTGAAAATGTATGAAGTCCCAGTGACAGGTTTATTGGATTGTGTTGGTAGGCCTGTATTTAGGAAATTGTCATCACAGGGGAGAGCTACATCATAGACATTGCTTACATTTATACAATGTCGTTACATCTCTAAGGGTCCATTTACATTTATGCTTTATGTTATGCGTTAATGTACGTTGCATTCAGGCAGCCAATAGGAACCAAGGTGCTGCCAGCACACGATATGCATCCGCTGTGCTAAAAAAAATTTGACTTAATGCACTATGGTACCTTCTAAAACACATGAGCATGGCGTTAGTGCAGTAGGGTATTATTTGCATTGAATAGCTCCAAAATGCGTAAAAGCATGTAATGTGCATTGCCATGCTTTGTGTAGGATGCAATGCCAGTGTTCCCGCAACGCATAGATGTAAAACAACCCTTAGAACCTTACAAAAAAAATGAAATAAGTACTGCTGACTTCACTCGTGATGCTCGGTTGTATGTGATTGCTGTTAATGACTCTATGGTTAATTTGTAGATTTGACAGTGGGGTCTGAGAGCTAGGAATACACACAGGTGCACATTCCCTGCTTTCTGCTGCAACATGAATGAATATTCATTTGGCATGGGGTATTGTGTGTGTACTAAACCCAGGACCCTGCATTCACTATATCTGGTCTCCCACAGTACACACAACATGGAATGCAATTATTTTAGTAAATATAAACTGCTAAATACCTTTTCTCATCAGCAGTTGGAGCAGTCTTGTGATTTCTATCAGAGTCCAGCAGAGTACTGGTTAAAGCTTGTATGAGGAGTTTTCTTTCTGCTCTAGGAGGATGCAGAACCCCTGACCTCTGTCTGGACAGTGCTGATTGGCCTTGTGCTGATCACATGCACTCTCCCCTCCAAAAAAAACAACCTCCCTAGCTATATACACTAAACTGAGCATGTGCAGAGTGACTCCACATGATATGTCTTTATCAGGAGATAAGAGGGGGACACTGGAAGAAGGGGAGGATCAGAGATGTCAGGATCAAACAGCTTTTTTTTTACTTAGTGTGGAGAATTAATCCCTTTGGTTCCACAGTGAATATAACATTTATAGGTAAAGTTGATGCAGGGAATATCTGATTACCTTTCGGGGGATCAGAAAGGATTTTTTTTGCCAGCAGGAGGAAATTGAATCATGCTTTGCTGGGTTTGCCTTCCTCTGGGTCAACTGTGGGTATAGGATTATAACTTTTTTTTTTTTTTTTAATGGTTGAACTGGATGGACTTTTGTCTTTTTTCAGCCAGACTAACTATGTAACAAGCATACATTTGCTGCAAATACAGACTGTTTTTACTGTTGTGGGTTTAGTAACACTTTAAAAAGAGGTATTGTTACAAAGTAGGTAAAAAGAAACATCAGCATTGTTTACAGGGGACCTATCGCCATGCCATTCATTTTGACAACAATCTTCCTGGGCATTTAATGTATTTTATAAATGGCGTTTACCTGTAGAAGCCTCCCTTGTGTAGACATTCAGTAGCCCCGAGGCTGCTGTTGGCCACTGCCATGTCAGCAACCTCAACTGACTCAAAATTGTTACTTGGCACTTTATAGCATTCCCCTTTGCTTCTCCCCTGGAGGCTACAAGGTTATATAGAAAGGTGGTGGGGGGGCAAAGGAGCTAGGCCAGCACAGACAGTAATTGGCACCGCCAGTAGAGGAAAGGGCTAACACGTGCAAAAATGGGCTGTGCTAGGAAATCGAATAAGCACATTTTCTAGCATTTTCAGAGGCACATTGCAAGTGAATAAAAAAGTAATTTATGGAAAGAGAAACCCTTGAAACCGTTAAAGCATTTTAAATACTTTTACTTACAATTTTTTAAGTAGGCGGTTCTTTAAAAAAAAAAAAAATCCCTGTAAGCAAACTATATTCATTAGTATAAGATTTTAGCACACCTTTTTTTTGCACATCCTTATCTTCTTTGTAGGCCAATGTAGGCTTTCCTAGCATTTTCTAAAACTGACTGCTAAGGAAGGCCTGCCTTTAAAGGCAAATTTGTCTTTATTATTTTACATAAATTTAACAAACAGAGCATAGGAAGTATAAAAAAAAAAAGTACAAGTATATAAACAAAAGAAAAACATCAGAGAGGTGGTTATGATCCATGTGGGTAAATGAAAATAGTGCAATATAACAGTAAGAGGGAAGGAGCGATAACCCATATTACGGAGGTAAAACATAACAGATTGTCAGGGGAGTATTCCCTGGCATGATGCATGAACCAGTATGAAAGAGTTCCACACAACCAAGATGGGGGGAAAAAAAAAAGAGGGGGGGGGGGGAAAACAAGGAAAAAGAAAAGAAGGGTTCAGTGGAAAGGGTATCGAAGGAGAAGAAAGAAAAAAGAAGGGGATGGGGAATGGGGACAGCAGTAAGCAGCAATGGGATAGCTGCCCATGCGTGTCTCATGGAAGCAACCCTGCCGCACACAGCACAGCGTGCAGCACAGGGTCCAACCAGCGGACAAGCCAAAATGAGATTGAGTCGGGGGGACCAGGGGCTCCACTAGAGAACAGCAGGGGCACACATATCACAGAGACATGTAGAGGAGGAGAAATGAAACCAGACCGGCCACAACATCTTATGTTTATCATAGGTACCATTAATAAACGCCAGCATTTCCTCCATATGCATAGTGAAGGCCTGCCTTTAGTATAACCACCAAATCAGGGTCTCAGGGCCAGTTCACACTACATGCATCTCAGTTGTTTTTTTTTTCTGCATCCAAAATGCGAAGAAAGTAGATTATATGGTTGTTAATGTCATAGTTCACATCAGTGCTTGCAGTTCCAGTGCGTTCGGGTTGCAGAAAAAAAAGTAGAACATGCTGCATTTTTTTCTGCACAGAACTGTACTGGAATGTGGTAAAACCCAGCAAAAATGCACCGGAATGCACTGGAATGGACCAAAATGCATCAAAAATGCACTGGGATGCACATATCCCTATTTAAATAGAAAAAAGAGGGGGAAAAATTAACTGGAATGCATAAAAAATGCACTGGAGCGCGTCAAAAAGGCATCAAAAACACACCGGAATGCATAAAAAATGCGCATGCTGAAATGCATACGGAACGCATCTGGACTGCGTTTCTATAGTTTGAACCGGCCCTCAGTATTGTGATAAGGAAGAAGCACAGTCTTGGTATCCCAAGAGCCTTTGAAAGTAAGGCCCCATTCACTAGGGGCGATCGTGTGTCCCCCGTGCAGGGCCGCCTTCTCCTGGCATGGGAATGCACAGGTGTTGCGTGCATTTCATAGTTGTCTGTTGGGACCCGCATGCAACCCTCATGTCATATTAGGACACAGCAGCTGTGTCTCTGCAGCCGCATGGCCCAATAGAGAACAATGGGATGCTGGCATGGGGAAGCATGTAACACCCGTGCATCCTTGTGCTAGGAAAAGACGACTCTGCACGGGGAATGCAGCTAATCGCCCTTTGTGAATGGGGCCACCTAACTCACCAAGAGATTAAAGTGTCAGTTCACCTTACCGGAAACCTGCCTATGCAGATAAGGGGTGTCTGTGCATAATAACAAACTGTGTCTCTGACTAAAGTTGAATAATATCTTTACTATAGGTGTAGGCCATTTATGTACCTCATGAAGTCTGACTGGAATACTCCCAAGACGTTGTTAGAATGTTGTTAAGTTGGCCTAGTCATTGCTGCTCACCTCCACCATCACAGGAGTGAGATTTTTCTCTGAATCAGAGCCCCTCACATGCTCTTTCTCTCCCCTCATACAATATCTCTGAACTCAGGGTCAGAGAGCTCACTCCTGTGATGGTGGAGGTGAGCAGAAATTACTAGGCCTAACCTAGCACCATCCTGGGAGTTTTCCCATCAGGCTTCAGGAAGTATGTAAATTGCCTACACCTATAACAAGGCCATTCTTCAACTTCAGTCAGAGCTGCACAGTTTGTTATTATCTACAGACACCCCTTATCTGCACAGGCAGCTTTCTGGGAAAGGTGAACTAACCCTTTAAACTTCTATTTGCAAGGGATGTCTGTGATTTGGCTTAAAGTGTTACTAAACCCACAACAGTAAAATCAGTCTGTTTATGCAGTAAAGCATGCTTCTTATACTCACTGTGGAACCTAAGGGGTATATCCTCCACATTGTGTAAAAATGATGTTTGATCCTGTCTTATCTGATCCTCCCCTTCTTCCAGTGTCTCCCAAATATCTCCTGATAGAACAGAACCTAGGGGCAAGCTGCACATGCTCCGTTTGGTGTGTACTGCAAGAGAGTTTTTTTCCTTGGGAGAGTGCATGTGATCAGCACAGGGCCAATCAGCACTGTCCAAAAAGAGGTCAGGGGTCCTGCATCCTGCTACAGGAGAATGAGAACTCCTCCTACAAGGTGTAACCAGTGCACAGCTGGACACTGAAAGAAGTCACAAGACTGCTATATATTGCTGATGAGAAAAAAGGTATTTAGTAGTTTATATTTACTAAAATATTTTGCATTTCCATGTTGTGTGCACTGTGGGAGAGTGGATATAATGAATGTTGGGTCCTGGGTTTAGTAACACTTTAATGAGCATAAATTCCCACAGACACGCTCTAAAATCTTGTAGGAAGCCTCTTTAGAAAAGTGCCAAAGCTGCAGAGGTGAGCAACTATATTCCAATGTCAGAGGTCAGGGGTCCTGCATCCTTCTACAGGAGAATGAAAACTCCAACAACCTGTAACCAGTGCTCAGCTGGACACTGATAGAAGTCGCAAGACTGCTCTAACTGCTGATGGGAAAAGGTATTTAGCAGTATATATTTACTAGAATAACTGCATTTTGATGTTGTGTGCACTGTGGGAGACCAGATAGAGTGAATGCAGGGTCCTGGGTTTAGTAACACTTTATGTCTCTCTGTTATTTCTGCAGAGCAGAGTTCAAAAGAAAACAAGGACTCTCATTGGTTGCTTGGCTCACTTGCTGTGCAAAGTAGCTCTTTCATCTTTTTCAGAAATTCATTTTGCGTGATTATGTCTACGCCATTTTTTACCATAATTATTTCTGTTCTTCTTCTATAAAGACGATGATAAACCATTGACCCTTCTAAATAAAACATATGTTGGATTAATTGCAAGTACAAGAAAAGGTCGCGAACATCCGCAGCCGTCTTTTCAGCGAGCTGGTTATTAACACACTTTTCCCTAATAATCCCCTATCATCGCCATGAGGTCTCGCTGGCTGCCTAATCGACCAGCGGGGTTCTGCATTCTATTCCTTTTCAGTTTCACTGCGTACAATAAAAATCCCCCCCGGCCTTTCAATCCTCCTCGTATGTTTTTAAAAGTTAAATTCGGACCATATTTGATAGAGAATTTATACGAAGCATGAGAAGAGGGAGCACGTTCCCATATGGAAGCCATCAATAAAAGCACAGACTCAATAATTCATGGTTAAGCTGTAGTCTTAACATCTCCGATTTGTACAATAAATAACAAGGCTGTCCAGCTGGACCTATAGGTGATGCTGAGGAAGCTGTATAGTTCCTCCTGGGTGAGATTGCAATCTGGAAGCCAGCAAGCCCTGGGACTTCACTGCTGCTCGCTCTGATAAGGGAATACGCTTGACAACGTTTAGAAGTTCTCTAATGCAGGGATTCTATTTACTACCTACAGTAGACTAACAAAGCCTCAGATCCAGCACAGCTCAAAACAGAACTCCAGCCAAAGATAACTGGATAAAAACGAATGGCCCATTAAAAGATAAAATAGCAAAAACAGTATTTGCTACAATGTTAAGCGAGGATCAGCAAAATTTTCCCCACAATACCTCTTTCACTGCTAGGTGTCCACAGTCTGATAGCCAGCTTCATTCAACCCACTTTTCTGAACCAGGTCATCCTGGACCACTAGCCTGTGAGTGGAAAGTGAAAGGAGAAGCAGTACAGCAATGAGCTCATCTTTCGGTCACTACGTTTTCTCCTTCTATCAGCATGCTTCTTGTCAGCACATGAACTGATTGCCTCTTTTTATTGCTTCACCGCATTTTGCCATGTATTTCAGTGTTAGAGCATTTTTACAGCTAAAAAACTCCTCTAGAAACCCTCTAGTCCTGGGTTTTTTTTCCAGCCAACAAACGTCCAAGCCAAAAAACGCTGATTACAGTCTATGTGTGCATGGCCACATAGGATAACATGCTGGTGGGTATACTAGCTGTAGAAAAAAACATCAAAAGCCAAAAACAGCAGCTGTAAAAATGTCCAGTGTGCATGAGGACTGAGTGTTATCAGAAGTATATCTAAAAATCACAACTTTTTACGTTTGCATAGAGTAAGAAATAATTAAACCCCTGTCAATTTTTTACTGTCCTTTTCATGTTCCTTCAATTCCTTTTTTGAGACATAAGAAGTAAGAGGAGACCTCTTCAAAGTAATAGAAATCCTCTCTTAGACAGCTGTCACCACAACAGGTGTCCCCATTTTACAGTGGAAGTTCAGTCAAAAACTAGCTAAAGCTAAACCTACTCCCGCCTTCATTCTAAGCCTATTCTACTTAAACCTTTAACCAGTAGCAGACCTCCCCATGTAGATATACTGATGCTGGGCAGCTGCTCTGCCAACGATTTGTGACCAGGACCTGCTGATCGACTTAAGCGAATCACAGTACAGAGCCCTGTGTTTACTAAAAACACAGGGCTCTGTACATAGAGTAGAGATATGGCTATTTTTTCTCCCTGCAAAGCATGGAGATAAAACGGTCACATATCTTAGTACAAGCAGCACACATAACACATTGTTAGGCATACAGGGGTTGATTTACTAAAACCAGAGCATGCAAATTCTGGTGCAACTGTGCATAAAAACCAATCAGTTTTCAGGTTTTATTCTCAAAGCTTAACTGAACAAGCTGAAGATAGAAGCTGATTGGCTACCATGCACAGCTACACCAGATTTTTCACTCTCCAGTTTTAGTAAATTAACCCCACAGTTAACCCTTTGATTGCCGTAGATGTTAATCCCTTCCCAGCCAGTGTCATTAGTACAGTGACAGTATATTATTAACACTGATCACTGTATTGGAGTCACTGGAGATGTCATGTCAGTTATCGGAGCAGCTTCAGAACAGTTAAGTATACAGATCTTTTCTTTACAGCATTAGATAGAATAGGCTAAGAACGGGGTGGGAGTATGTCTAGCCTTGGTTAGGTTTTGACTGAACTTCCACTTTAAAGTGGTAGTAAACTCTCAAAAAAAAGAAAAAAAAAAAGTTTTCCCCTGCAAGGTAATATCACAATGTGCTAGTATGCATAGCATGCTAGCACATTATGTGAAACTTACCTTAAAATGAAGCCCTCCAGAGGCACGCTGTCACTGCTGTTGAGGCTTCCATCTTTACCCAATCTTCCTCTCGGGTTCACAGACTCCAGCGGCTTGAATGGCCGAGCCGCAATGACGCCACTCCCATGCATGCGCGCAGGAGTCACTTTCTATGGCACACTACTCTGAAGGAATGGCATGAGTATGTTGTTCCTTACGAGCACATGCGCTGGTGCTCTACACTGGTAAATATCTTCTAAATGGTGCGCGTTTAGGAGATATTTACAGTACCTACAGGTAACAGCTCATGTACTTGAGGCGTTTGGAAAACTCTTCTGGAAACTGCTGAAAACGAAGGTTAAAAAACATCAGTCCTGTCTTTTCTGGTTGTATTCACTATGGATCCCATCATGAGCATAATGCAGCACGTTCTACCATTTTTTTCCTTCACACGAAACCTGGAACTGACTGTGCTGGTGTACTGGGTCCATTTTAATACATGGAAAACGCTTTGCGTGCATTTCTGATGATGAAAAAAGGCTCTGGACAGCATCTAGATATGGAACAGTTAAAAAATGCTTATAAACGCAAACACGGTTAACCGCGTTTACAAGCGTAATACATGTATTTACAAGCATTTGGCGTTTGAAACACCAGTAAAATCTACTCCTGGACAAAAGTTTGGTGCGTTCAAAAAAAACAACTGTAAACTCAACTGCCTGTAAAAGACTGTAAATGACATAGTTTACATGGACACATAGGAAAACATTAGGGAGAGTTCAGAGGCTGCTGAAAAAAATCACTGAACAGCTCCTGAACGTCAGTTTAGCAGCTGCAGTGTACATGAGCCCTAAGTGACAGTGGTCACCTTGACAAATAGTTAAGATGAATCAGACAGCAATAAATACCTGACAAAGGCTGTAACCATCTTTTACTCTAAAACAGAAAACACATGACTTTAGATACACATTAAGGTTCTTGTTGTTATCTCTAACCTGCAAACCCTCTTATGTATGTCTTTCTGATTCTGATTCTGCTCCTGGTTTCACTTTGCTAGTAAAGGCTCAACTTCCCCTAAATCAAAGCCCAATGCACCTTCCATCCCATCATCCAGTAGAAGTGTCCTCTCACTGTACAGGGGATAATGAACGGTGGGGCTTGGTCTTTCTTCTGTCATTTAGTTGGTGCAGGACACTATAATACTAACAGTTCAGGAAGATGTGAGAGGCTTAAAGGATAACTCCTCATCAAAAAAGCATAGAGTAGCAATATATATAATTGCTACATTTTAGAATCTGCCAAAAATACAAGTATCTATTTCATAAATTCAAAATACTAACCACAGCTTACAAAGCCATCCACAACACTGCCCCTAGCTATATCGCCAACCGCATCCGCAGATATTGCCCAAAATCTCCCACTCCGCGCCTCCCAAGATATCTTCCTCTCTAGCTTTTTCATCACCTCCTCCCATGCTCACCTCCAGGACTTCTCCAGAGCATCTCCCATCCTCTGAAACTCCCTACCACAGTATGTCCGGTCAGCCCCCCACCCTGTCTGCCTTTAGGCGATCTTTGAAAACTCACTTATTAAGGGAAGCCTACCCCACCTCCACCTAAGAACTGTACTTGAGTCACCTCCACTAGATTATCCCCCGCAGCTATCATCTTTGTATCACCTCCCCCTTCCTTTAGATTGTAAGCTCAAAGAGCCGGGCCCTCACATTCCTTCTGTACTGAAATGTATTGTAATTGTACTGTCTCCCTTATATTGTAAAGTGCTGGTCAAACTGTTGGCGCTATATAAATCCTGTATAATAATAATAATAATGCAGTAGAGCAAATAATAACCATAATCAAGATGATAATAAGAAGCCTTTATTGTCATTTTATAAAAACCTACATAGCAATTTCCATTTGTATTGCTTGAATGATGCATTAAATAGTTAACACAGGTACACAGTAATAAATACATAATACACATTAACATGGATTTCAACTCACAATTTCTCCATAACTTCTTCTATCCCTTCCCCCTCCCTGTTACAC